CTCCTCCCTCCTCCCTCCTCCATCCTCTCCTCCTCCCTTCTCTCCTCCTCCCTCCTCCTCCTCCTCCTCCTCCTCCTCCTCGTCCTCGTCCTCTTTCTCCGAATGGCCGCGTCAGGGACGCAAGGTTTCCAGGCTCGAGGTGTCCAGCTGTTCTCGTCGTTTCTCGTCGGCCTTCCAGCCTCGGGGCGCCCTCTGGGCAGTCACTGAACTCGGCCGCGAAAACCTCGGCCAGGCTCAACTCGGCCAGCCGAACTCGGCCCGGCTGGGATCGGCCGGCTGACTGTGGATGACTTCGGCCAAACTGAGCGCGGCCCGGGCCGCATTCGGCCTGGCCGAGTTCAGTCGGCCGGCTTCAGCCCGACCGAAGGAGTCCCGGCCGAGGCTCTCCCCTGCCTTCCAGCGGCTGCGCCTCGCCCGAGAGCCTTCCGGGCAGGCCAGCATCGCCCCGGACGGCCGCCGGAGAGCCGAGGGGGCGCCTGGGCGAGGGCGCCGGGCGCGGGCGAGGCGGCGCGGTCGAGGCGGCGCGGTGCGAGCGAGGCGCGGCGCGAGGCGAGCCGAGGGCGACGGGCGAGGCGCAGGGCGAGGGCCGCGCCGCGGGGCGTCGTGGCGAGGCGGGGCGGGGCGGCGGGGCGCGGCGCGGGGCGGCGAGGCACGTGGCGCGGCAGGCGCTTGCCACGCCCGCCGCACCTGCCACGCGTGCACGCGCCTGCCACGCCTGCCACGCCTGCCGCGCCCGCCACGCCCGCCACGCCTGCCGCGCCTGCGGGGGGCGCGGCTCGGGCGATGCCCAGTGAGGGCGGCGAAAGAGGTGCGCATCTGTCGTGGTCGCTTCGGGGCCCCCTTTCTCGCGCTCGATCCTTGCCGGCCGCCGACGTGATTCTTCCTTCCGATCCGCAGCCCCAGAGGTCCCGACCGCATCCCTCGGGGGATTTGTCGCCCAGATCCATCTTGAGGGTCCAGGGGCCCAATAACTGGCCCTAGAGGCCGAGATCAAAGGAACACGCCAGGATTCAACAAACCATATCGTCGGAGATCTGGGGCCCCCTTTCATTATAACGAAACCTCTGAGCGGCGAGCGCGAAAGTCTGCTGGGAGGCCTGAGAGGCTGGCCCATCGAGAGCGACACGACGACTTCCTCAGAACCTGTAGCTTCCCATTCGTTTTTAAGAGATTTTGGCGTCGTGTTGGACTGTCAGGAGCATCTTGGGGGCTTTTTGGAGGCCTCTTGGGGGCCTCCTGGTGCTCCCTCGGGGCCTCGAGGGGAATGCGCAAGCTGTCGTGGGGCGACCTTGGCCCGTCTGACGCCCGCGGAAGCCGTCAGACAGGGCTCTTCGAGATCGTTTGGGCCGTTCTGAGAGGCTCTTGAGCGCTCTTGAAGCCCTCTCGGGCAAAATGGGGGCGCCGCGTCCAGCCGTGGCGACGAGGATGGCCCCCGAAGGCCAAGCCGCCTCGAACCTGACTCTTCGAGGTCCCCTCCGCCGAGGTACCGCTGCCAGGGCCGCCTGATCCTTCGGACTCGCCTTCTCCTCCTCCTCCTCCTCCTTCTTCTTCTCCTCCTCCGCCTCCTCCTGAAGGAGAAACGATGTCAAGCACAACGTCGGGAAGCATCTGAAGGGGGCCTGGGACACACAAAAAAATAAACACGAATAAGAGGCTTCCCCATAATTTCCCATATCTTCGGGTTTCTGTCTTCCCCCCACTTCCCACATTTTTCCATGTTTTCGGGGGAATTGACGATTGATTGTGTCTCTGTGTGTTTTTTCCCTCCTGAGCATCATAATCGCCATCATCATCACAGTCAGCGCCATCACCATCACCATCACCATCACCATCCTCATCCTCATCCTCAACATTGTCGTCGTGCCGTCGTCAACGCCGTCGCCGCCCAGGCGCTCTTGGAGAGGCTTCCAGGGAGGGACGGCCGACTGCGCGCCTTTGGGGGGGGGGCTCTGGGGCCGTGTGCGCTCTGGTGGAGCCAACTTTGGGGGGGGGCTCCCAGAAGCCCGGTGGAGGCGGGTGGGTGTTTCCCGATGGTCGTAGTGCAGCTTGTCGTCTTCGTCGCCGACGTCGTCACCATCATCATCGGGGTCGTTTTCAGCATCATCATCATCATCATCATCATCATCATCATCATCATGCTCATAATCATACTCATTATCGCCACCACCATCATCATCATCATCATCATCAGCAACATCTTCATCACCGTCATCGTCATCGCCATCGTCACCACCACCACCACCATCATCATCATCACCATCATACAAATCACCGTCATCATCGTCGTCACCGTCACGATCACAGTCATCATCATCATCATCAACATCATCATCAACACCATCATCACCATCATCACCATCATCATCGCAATCACAATCACAATCACCGCTACCAGCATCATCATCACCACCATAATCATCGTCATCATCGTTATCATCACCATCACCACGATCATCTCCACCATCACCGTCACCGTCATCATCATCATCATCATCATCATCGTCGTCGTCGTCATCATCATCATCATCGTCATCATCACCATCACCCTGATTCTCATCATCATCGGCATACTCCTTATCATCAAGACCTTTGACACCAACATCGTCATCAACATCATCATTATCATCGCTGTCATGCCGTCGGCCAAATGTTCCCGGAGAGGCCTTCAGGATCATCCGTCTGGATGCGCGCCTCGGGGAGCTTTTTCGAGGTGTCAAGGGCTCGGAACGGGCATTCGGGAGTCTTGTTGAACCTTCCTGGGGGCATGTGGGGGGAAGGTCTACGAGAGCTTGGGGTTATCCGAAGCCTAAGCTGTTCGCCTCAGGCCTCAGAGACCCATCGGAAGGAGAAAAGCGAGAGGTCTTCAGGGCGAGATGGATCTCCCAAAGTCTGTGAACAAATTTGGCTTCCGGCAGCCTCTTGCGAGCCCCTCGAGGGCGCCTTGGGGGCCCCTTCGGGGCGTCCTCGGAGCCCCTTGGGGCATCTCGGAGCCTCTTGGGGGCCTCTTGTGGGCCTCTTTGGGGGTCTCTTCAGGCCTCTTGGGGGGCGGCGTCGAAAAAGGTTAGTTCGACTCTGTACTGTTCGCTTCTCTCTATATATGCGCTCCTCCTCTCACTCCCTGCTTTCTACTCTGCTCTCTAACCTCAGCTCTCTACTCTCTACCCTGTGCACTCTGCCCTGCACTGTCTAAATGTGTCTGTTCTCTCGAAGCCCAGCGATCTGGCGGCAACTGGGAAGCCACTGCCCAGAAACTCGAAAGCGGGAGCCTGGGAACCTGCAGACCCAGCCGCCAACCGAAATCGGCGGAAACATGTTGTCAACTCTTGGCAATCTACGCGGGGAGCCCATCAATTTCCGGCACTGGCAAGCGACAAGCACATGGTTGACCGTCAACTTATCCAGGATGATCCCCCTAGACCGTGCCCGCCTCCCTCCCCCCCATCGCTTCGTGACGGGTCTCGCCTGCCGAACCGCTCACTTCTCCACCACCGTGCCTGCACGGAGTGGGCGTGTTAGAATGTTCGTCGGTTGCATGGGAGGTTTTCAATTTTTTCTAGGGCCGCCCCCGCCCTTTCGCCCGCGCGTGCTTAGAACATCGCCCCTCCAGAAATTGCCTCCAAGTGCCTCTTCGGCATCCAAACGGCCAATATGGCGTCCAGGGCGGCCTCCCAAACAACCACTACGACACCAAAACAGCTCCAGATGGCGCACGGCGGCTCAAGAGGCCCCGAAGACGGCGCCAAGACGGACCGCGGGCCCCCCCAAGACGGCGTCAAGAAGGCTCCAAGAGGCCCTTTAGGAGAGCCGCACAATTGTTTGTTCCTTAGTTTCTTGACGGATGTCGAGCAGGGCTGAACCTAAACGGTGTTGTTCGTTTTCGTTTTTAATTTTCCCTCGTTTTGTCTTCAGTCCGCCTTTAACGCAAAACGAAATCGAAACGAAAACGGCCTACGAAATATCCAAACACCGTTTAGGTCCACCCCTGATGTCGAGGTTCTCGCCGATTTGGGCCTCCGACCGGCCAAGGTGGCCCCCAGGGGGCTTCCAATATAGCCCCAGGGTAGCCCATGAGGCCCCCAAGAGAGCCCCGAATCGGCCCACGAGGACCCCAAGGTTGCCCAAGAGGTTCCCAGGAGGGCCCCAAGGCGGCCCTAAAGCGCTCCAAGAGGGCACCACGACGCCCCAGAGAGGCCCCCAAGACGGTCTCCGAATGCGCCTGACGGGGTAGTCGCCTCCTTGACACAACCGAAGGGGCTCCAAGAGGCCACAAGAGGCCCCAGGAGGCCCCCAAGAGGCTCCCAAGAGGCCCCCCTGGAGACTCCCAGGAAGCCGCCAGGATGCCCCAAGAGGGTCCCAAGAGTCGTTCTCCTCCTCCTCCTCCTCCTCCTTCTCCTCCTCCTCCTCCTCCTCCGTCCACAATTACTCAATATGAATACTACTCTCCCTCTTCCCCTGATGACGGTTTGAAAGTGCTCGACCCCCCCCCCCGCGTACTGTTTTTTACACATAGGTTTCCCCGGAGTCGGGTTTTCGCCTGCATTTTTTTCAAAATGCTGCTCTCGCTGAGACGCCGGCCTCATTTTCGGGCCCCGCTCGTTCCGAATCGTGCTCCCGCTGCAGCGCTGGCCTCATTTCTGTGCTTCCGCTCGTTCCGAATCGTGCTCCCGCTGCAGCGCTGGCCTCATTTCCGCGCTTCCGCTCGTTTCGACTCGTGCTCCCGCTGCAGCGCTGGCGTCATTTCCCGTGCCATGCCACGGCATGCAATGCAATGCTAGGTTGATGCTACGCTTTGCGGTGCTCTTCTACGCCATGCCATGCCGTGCTCTACAATGCATCGCGTACCCTTTCGGGATCATTGCCCTGCTCGACATCCGACTGTGCGAGTAGAGAGGGGATCTACGCCATGGTAAGGGATGGGAGGGGGGGGTACGATGTTAGATATGACGCGAGCGCACCTAGCTTGCCAACCCCCCCTCTCCTCCTCCTCCTCCTCCTCCTCCTCCTCCTCCTCCTCCTCATTATCCTCCTCATTATCCTCCTCCTCCTCCTCCTCCTCGTCCTCTTCTTCTTCCTCCTCCTCCCCCCCCTCCTCCTTCTCCTCCTCCTCCTCCTCCTCCTCCTCCTCCTCCCCACCGCGCGGACGACGACAATGTCGGGATCACGACCGTCCTCAATTCAGACCACTCGCAGAACTGCCGCGGGCTGTGAATTAGACCTCCTTCCTACCGCGCAGACGAAGACGAGTTCGAATGTACGACCCGTCCGTATGAGACCACCTGTCGGAGTTGCGTTGCTCCTGAACTCGATCTCCTTCAGCGCTGTTGCACAGGCCGCTGGCGGGGGTTGCCGCAGGCAGCTGGATAATATCTTCATCCCGCAGAGGGTGGCAACACGCGCCCACAGCAGCCAGAACAAGCGCGTCCGGACCGTCCGCTGGGCCCCCACTGGTCGCATCCCGCCGGAGAGATGAAACAATGAAGCAAAACTCTGCAGACGCAAATGCAACAAGCGTCCTGTCTGAATCTGACTCTGTTCCACCAGCGCGAGCGAGACGGGCTTCTGCTCGCACCCCAGCTCCTGCGGAGTGTCAGCAAGTCTCTGCTTCCAGCTGGTGCCCTGGCAGTGCCAAGTTTCGGGGGCGCTTTAATCCAGCAAGATGCTCCGAACCCCATTTTTTACAAGCAGGACCACCCCTTCAGTCGCGCCAGCGGCGTATGAATGCAGTCATCCATTTGCAAAGAAATGGTCCTCAGGAGCTTGACACCGAAAGCTCGAGTCATGCCCAAATGTCCGATCTCTGCAAGCGACAAGCTACCAGAGCAAGCGCGAGATACACCAGCAACCGCCAAGAGGCAACGCAGCTGGGCGAGGAAACGCCGGAAACCCTTGGATCTACACGTCGCCCATGTCTAAACATTCGTTCTAACCTGTTTCGTTTCGAAAAAACAGCGATCCCAGAATGGACGGAGGCCATCAACAAATATAATTATGAGACATGGGTGGGTACTGGAACTGGAAGAAATCTGACCGGACAACAAGGGAAACGCCGCTTTTGTCTACTCGGCTCGTAAGACAAACAATCAAATAAAGGAGAGGCGGGCGACAAGGAGGCGGATGAGGAGGATGGTAGCGTGGAGGACGAAAAAAAAACGAGGAGGACTATGACCAGGAGGACAACGAGGAAGAAAACAGGCACAAGAACGAGCATGGTGAAGACGAGGAAAATGAGCACGAGACGGACGAGGATGACATATCGACGAGGAGGGATAGGAGGACGGCAGCGTTGATGAGAAGGGTGACATTGGGAAGGGCGCGGAGGAGGACAAGACTCTCGAGAAGGAGGGCGACGAAGATGCCGAGTGGGAGAAGGCGGGAGAGGACGAGGACGAGGAGGGCGACTGAATACGAGAAAGACAAAGTGAAAAACGTCATGGGTGACATTGAGAAGGACGGCAATAAGGATGAAAAGGAGGAGGAGGAGGAGGAGGAGGAGGAGGAGGAGGAGGAGGAGGAGGAGGAAAAGGACGACGAAGCGAAGAGGGAGGAACAGAGAAGTGAGGGCCGATGGTGCTTGTCTTGGCTACAATGGGGGCTCATATGCGCGACCAAGGCCGTCCCCGAGCCTCTGTGCGGCATCTTGGAAGCCCCATGGGCGCTTCTTGGGAGCTTATCGGGGTACCCAGGGGACGCCCGGGTCTTTTTGAACGGTCGGGGCGTGGTCTTGGGGATCTTTGGGGGCTCTCTTGTTTTTGGGTATCGGCAAACATAGCTGCGCGAGCAGATCCAAAGTTCGCCTGCCCAGTGGTCTTTGATGCAACGGCAGCGGCTTGTCTTAGCCGAAAGGGCGGTCGGTTGGGGCATTGAAAACCAAAAAAAAGGAGAGGAATTTCCCTGGCAACGGCACGCTCAAACTCCGTCGGCCATGTTGTGGCAGGCCGGTGAAGGCCGGAAAGCCAGGTGACTCTGCTGCGAAGGGCGGGGAGTGCCGTTGCGTCGCTCGGGCAGGAGACGAGGATGAACAGAAGAGGGGACGAGACCACGACCAGCGGGCAGGTGGGGCGAAGGGCAGGGAGCAAGAACTCCACGCAGCTGGCCTGCGGCGCAGGAGCCCGCGGTGACCCACTCTCGCCGCTGCCCGATCTCGAAGGCTGATCGCACTGCTGATTCTGCCACCGCCCGCTTGTAGAGGCCACCCGCGTTCTTTGCAAGGTCATCCAAGACCACCAACTGCATATCCTTGTCGCCCTGATTGGTCACGATGATATCGTCCTCGCGCAGGACTGCGCACGCCTCCTCAGGAGTCTTCTCGCTCCACGTTCTGACATCGCCTCCAGGTTGGTAGCTTCAGCCTGGTTGGCAGCACCCGTGCACACCACGTGCGCCCTGTGCTGATCCGCTGGCGTGGACATCAGTCCATTGGCCGTGATCGTCCGCAGGGAGAGCCACAGCTCGAAGGACGTCCAAAAGCGGCCGACGTACTGCAGGTCAAAGAAGACGAGCACCTTGGATGACACGAACAACATGTTGATGTTCTCGAGGCCGAGCTTGAAGATGACCTCGTCGTCCTCGGAGCGTGGCATGTTCGGAAACTGCTGGGGGAGACACCAGTAGTCGAACCACGCCCACTCTATTTCTAGGTGTTCCTGAGGTACTTCTGCAAGACCTTCAGCTTCTGTCCTTTGGTGTCCGGGTCGCCAGGCGTATGCCACCGGTGCGAGATCACGATGTAGTTCTCATACGCACCGCGGATGGCCCTTCCCATCGACCACTTCGTGGTGGAGAGCCAGCCCTCGGACCTCAGCTCGTGGCAGTGAGGCAGCTTCACGCCCGTGAACGCTCGGATCTTCGCTGCGTCTACAAAGTAGAAGTCGTGCGATGTTGGACTGCTCTTTGCTTTGGCACTCTGGAGCTGTCGTTCTATGCGTGCGGCTCGCCTCCGCAATCTGCACCTGGCTCTCAACCGCTGGCCGTGCCAAGCCATCACGACGCTCGCCAGGGACACCGCGCATAAGAGCACGAGCATGAAGTGGAGCCTCCTGTTCCTCTCCATCTCGTTCTTGGCGACCTCCGCCTGCGCCTCGGCCTCAGCCTGCGCAGCAACTGCCTTGGCCGTCTCGTTCTTGGCGATCGCCGCCTCCCGGGCGGCCTCATCCTGCCAATAATTCATTCAAGGTGTCAAAAAGCTGCCTCTCCTGCTTGACGGCCTCGGCCCGGGCAGCCACTGCCTTGGCCGTCTCGTTCTTGGCGATCTCCGCCTGCAGCTTGGCCTCAGCCTGTGCATCAGCTGCCTTTCCCTTCTCGTCCTCCGCGAGCTTCGCCAGCAAGTTGGCGTGTTCCTCCGCAGCCATTGCCTTCCTGTGCTCCTCCTTGGCGATGCGAGCCTGCTCCTCCGCCTCGGCCTGTGCAGCCGCTGCCTTGGCCGTCTCGTTCTTGGCGATCTCCGCTTGCAGCTCGGCTTCGGCCTTCTCTGCTTTGGCGGCGAGCGTCGCTGCAGCACAGTTAGTTGCATCGCTTGTGTCTTCATTTTGGTAACTTCTTATCTCTTCGACGAGGTCCTTCGCCTTCTCGATCGACATCTCCCGGGCGAACTTGCAAAGCGGGCCGCCGGCGGCCGCGGTGCGCGCGGGCCAGGTGCCGTCGCGCAGAAGCTGCTTGAGCAGGGGCACCAACTCGTCGAACCTCTGGTTGAGGGCACGCTCTAGAGGCCTTCCTGCCGCCTTCTCACGAACCCACACATTCGCGTCGGCCGCCAGTTTCCTAAGAATGGCAACGGCCTCGTTGGGCTTCCCCTTGAGGGCCTTGAGCAGACCAGGTCCTGCCACCAACGCTGAACGGACCTCCTTCAGGGGGTCAGACGCCAGCTTCGTCATGAAGGGCAGGCCCTCCTCATTCTCGTCGGCCAAAAAAATGTAATTTCCGGGCGCCAGTTCCACGCGGGCCTTGATGGCCGCCTCGCGGACCTCCAACACCGCCTGGCCATTATCGGCGTCGTCCGACAGGTTCGCCAGCACCGCCCAGGACTCGGTTGGCTTGTATGCAAAGGCCGCCTGCAGCGCTCGCCCTCCAGCCACCGCCACGCGGACCTCCTTCTTGGAGTCCTTCGCCAGCTTCGCGAGCACGGGCAGGCCCTTGTCGGGAACTCTCGACGGCGTGTCTGAGACTCCATCCAAAGGCCACCGCCGCACGCACCTCCGCCTCGGGGTCGGCCGCCACCTTCGCCACGACAGCCAGGAGCTCGTCCGCCTTCGTCTCCTCTGCTTCATGGCAAGAAATGCCTCTCACGAGCGCCACCCGCACGTGCGTGTTTTTGTCGCACGCATCCTTCGCCCACTCTGGCATTTCCGTCGGGTCGCAGGGAGCCTTCCCCTTTGTCGCCACTTTCAAGACGTTCGACGTTGCCACCTTGAGCGAGGGGACGTTCACCGCGGAGCCGACCAACAGCGCACCCTGCCGCTCCTCCTCGCCAGCCTGAATGTCCGCATGGCCGCGCAAGGCCCGGAGGAGGAACTGCGCCTCGCTCTCGGACGCGAGCCGCAGCCCAGGCGGCCCCGGCGCGCCGCGGCACGCGGGCGGCAGCGCAAGACGGACGCCAGCGCAAGCAGCGGCACGGCGGCGGGCCGAGGCGCCATCGCGATGGCCGGCGGGCCTGCCCGCGGGGCGGGTTCCCCAGACGGGCCTGCTGCTCGAGCCACGTTGGCTTGAGCCAAATTGGCTACGGAAAATCTTTGGGGGTTCTCTTGGATCGTCTTGGCATCTCCCTGGGCCGTGCAACGAGGACATTGCTTTTCAAGCTTTTCAATGGGCGACGTTGTAACATACAGCCTTCATCGCCTCCATGTTGTGCTGATGCCTCATGCGAAATGACTGCTAGAACACCTTCTTGGCATGAATGTGTAGTTTTGTGATATGGGAGAGCCGGTACAACAACACGTGCAACAGCATCAAGGTCACGTATCATCTAGGCTAGCTTTCCGAACGTCCACAGTACACACATATGGGCACACGCTCCACGATCGATCACAATGGAATAGCTCTGGGCACACGGATCTTACCCCAAAGCGACTGCCAAGCCGCCTCTTGAACCATCTCCTGGTGCTAGAAGGGGAGCTCCAGCTACGGGCGACAATGTGGAGCGAGGATGAGTGTAGGAGAAGTGAGGAAGAGAAATTAGGAGGAACTCATCGTTATCCTCCTCACTATCATCATCAGAAGCAGCAGCGTCATTGGCATCCTCATCACCACCATCGTCACCACCATCACAGCCGCCATAACCACCGCCATCACCAGCATCACCATCATCATCGTCAATCTATACGTCATTGTCAACATCTTCATCATTCATTTCTGTTTCGAATGTCAGTCCGAATGCTTTTGCTGGATGCCTTGAGCGCAACGCTTGTTTTTGAACAAACGTTTTACAGCACCACTTACGTGTTTTACGATGTTGCCTCTTGGGCTGTCTTGGGTATTCTCCGAAAGCGCCCGCCGAAATACGTAGTGCAGCAGTTGTTTCAACAGCTCATGTATGAGGATGTCTCAAGCAAGGGCATGATGCTTGAGAACACGACAAATTCACAAGCTCCCGTGACATCCGATTTCCTGAGGCTGTTTGCATCAGGAGCTTCACTGTTAACATTTTTGGTGTTCAAGGTCTTTCGTTTGTCCTTGCCACGAGGATATCCCAAGCGAGAACACAATTTCTGAATACCTGGCGGTTATGCCAGCGACGCGTAGCCTGCAACATCTACTTTTAGTGAGGGCGTCGCAGGCGAAACGTCTCGTTTCAACACCTTTCTTGGCATGAACGGGAAGCACGTGATTTGGACGATAAGGTCCAACATCGTACAACGATATGAAGGTCATGTATCATCTGGGCCAGCTCCGCCTACGTCCCCAAGGGACTTTACTGCTCTTTTGCGGCGCATAGCGCATCGGCGCCAGACTGAGCCTAGCGTTACGATGCAATCACTTTCTTTCGCGGCACATGCCGCGTCGGCACCAGACCGAACGTCGCTGCACACACACATGCACTTTCCTTTTTTTTTCGAGGCGCCTAGAGCGTCGGCGCCAGACTGAGCGTCGCAATAGTCTGGACAAGAAGAACCATCCCCACCGCCACCAAAGAAACCATGGCTCCGCTGGGCAACTTACTTCCCTTGGTGAGGATGGATGCCGTCTCCTGCGGGTTTGAGGGCACCCATCGAAACCTAGAGGCGGTACGCTGGAAGAGTCAACTCACCCTGCCCTGGTGGGGGTGGGGATGGCCCAGAGGATCGTAAACTACAAAACGTGCGCTTTACTTGTTTTCGCGGCCGACAGCGCGTCGGCACTTGTCTGAGCGGCATCTTCATCTTATGCCGATGTGTTCGATGCCCCTTCCGCATGCGTTTTTGCTGATGCATCTGGCGGGTCGCCTGTTTGGGGAAATCCATCACATGTAACCGAAGAGCGAGAATGCTGAACATCAACACGCTTTTTTTCTAGTGATTTCCACATTTCCGAACATCCGCTTGAAGGCATGAGTTGAGGGTGTCTCAAGCGAAACGCTCTCAGTTGAGCAACGCAGTTTGACATTTTTTTTTTTTGTTTTTTTCCGTTCGAACACAAGTTTTGTCTCTTAGGCCGTGCCAGCTTTGAGCCGTCCAGAGGCCCACTCGCGGCTCTCAGCATGTCCTTTTGCTCTTTCGAAGGCCGCAAGTGGAGCGACATCAGACCGAAGAGCGTGGGAAACGAAAAACATTTGGAACAAAAAGAAAAGACAATGAATGTGTTCGGCCTCCCAAGGCCCTCTTTGAGAGAGTATTAGGGGTGTCTTGGAAGCGTTCTGGGGCCACGTGGGTGGCCTTAAAGCTTTCTTGGGATCTGTCTGCCGCTCTGGGGGCAATGTTCGGAAATATAGGCGGCCTTGGTGTCCTGCTTGGGCCGTCTTGGAAGTCATCTTGGGCATCTTTGGGCCCCCTGGAGAGCGCCAGCCAAGAGAGCCTGCGGAAGGACCCACGGACTAAGAAGGCCCCAAGCGGCCCAAGAGGGCCACAAGACGGCCGCACGATAGTCCCAAAAGACACCCCAAACGGCCACAATACCTCGACGACCGCTGCGAAGGGCCCCGGGGCGGTCCATGAGGTCCACAAGGCGACCGAAGAGGCCTGCACGGGACCCCCCCCTGCTGCCCCGTCAGAGCTGGCTCGAGCAGCGGAGACGAGGGGCGTCAAGTGTGACGGCCTTCCTGAGCGGTGCTCGAAAAGGTCGCCATGCGGAGTGCTTCGCTGCTGCAGGGTGGCGCATGTGCCGCAAGCACCTGGGTAGAAATGGAGGCCTCGGGTCAGAGGATCGCGCCGCATCGCCGATGCGGCGCGATCCTCCGACCCCATGCGCTCCGACCCCATCTGGGAGGCCCGAGGAGGAGGAGGAGGAGGAGGAGGAGGAGGAGGAGGAGGAGGAGGAGGAGGAGGAGGAGGAGGAGGAGGAGGAGGCGACGAACTCCGCTTTCGCGGCGCCCTGGGAGCGCGATGCCGGGACGGGTCGAGCCAGGGCAGAGCGATGCGTGCATGCTGGGCCCAGCCTGCCCTCCTCTCGTCCCCAGGCAGGCTCGCGGAAAGGCACGGGACCCCGTCCTCCGACGTCGTGTCGTGCTCTCCCCGCCACGTGGCCCCCGACACTTAGGTCGGGCATGGCCTCCTACCGGTGGATTTTGGAAGACAAGTAGAACATAGCCAGCAAACAACCAAACATAGCCAAAAAGCACGACAAATCGTCACCAGACTATGTCTTGACTGTTCTTGACTACTCCTCCTGTAGAGGGGTACGCCCGACTGAACCCTGAACCTCTCGACCTCTCGACCCGCTCTTCCGCCGCAAGGCCTTCTTTGTGCGGGCCCTCGGGCTCGCAAAGGCAGGCCTGATCTCTGGGCCGAGTCGGCGAACCAGATCGGATCGGATCGGGAAGGAATTGGATCGCCAGTATACAGGATCGCCCCGAATCGAATCGAAATCGCATCGCCGCGTCCGACTCAAGCTGGCCCTGGCCGATGCCGACCGGACCGCATCGGAATCGCGGCCCCAGCTGGCGATTCGGATCGCCTCGAATCGGATCGTGGGCGGCCCAGGGACGTCCCTCCCGACGCCGAGACACTGAACAGCTCGCCCGCCGCTTCTTCTCCCCCACGACGCCCAGAGGCAGCGGGGGAGAGGGCGCACGGGGCCAGCTCGCGTCCTCGTGGCTGCAGCACCAGTGCTTCTTGCTGTCCGCCCACTCGCGCCGCCAGTTGGACAGGCCCGCCTGGCGCGCCGTGCCCTGGGTGAGACGAGGCCAGGACAGAGACAGCAGCAGACCCGGGCAGAACGGGGATCTTTGAGATACGGTGCCTCTGGAAGATGTATCGGGCGCCGCGTCCGTCCCAAAGCGCGCTGATGATGATTATGTTGATGTTGCTGTTGCTGTTGCTATTGCGGCTGATGATGCTGCTGATGATGATGATGATGATGATGCTGATGATGCTGACGATGACGATGACGATGATGATGATGCTGATGATGATGATGATGATGATGATGATGATGATGATGATGATCATGATACCGCTGCTGCTGGTGATGATGAACATGACAATGATGCTGATGATGATGAACATGCAGATGATGATTATACTGATGCTGCTGCTGATGATGCTAATGCTGATGCTGCTCATGATGATGATCATGCTGTTGATGCTGATGATGTTGATGTTGATGAATGCTCTGAGAGCATTCTGGAAGGCTCTGGAACGATTTATCCCGCTCCTGGGCACGCCCCAGAGGCCCTGGGCCCCGTGGAGCGCTTGGAACCGGCGGAGCGGCGCCGAGTGCCCGGCTCCCCCCCCCCCAGACCTCTGGCGTCGCGAAAGAATGCGCAGAGGGTGCTTGTACGCCACCGTCATGCCCGAAGGGTACCATTGTGGGCCGAAGGATTGTGTACAGTAGGGGCGTTGACCTAAGGAACCCTAACTAAGGAAAGAGGCCTCTTTTTCCCATAAGTTTAACTTCGATTTCCCATCGAAACCCTAAGCAAAACCAAAGGCGAACTGCAAAACAACTTAGGAAGACCGAGCCCCTCCTCAACGAAAAGGGCTCCTTCCTCAGTGCCCCGACTGTATTCGACCCTCCTGGCAGAGGCCATGAGGGTCTGCACACCATCCAGGCATGCTGGTGGTCTCAAGTTCAATCTGCGAAACGACCACGACGGCCAATGCTTCCCAAATTTGGGCGTCTGGAGACTCTTTTCGCGCGCCCCAGGGCCACAACAAATCAGCCCGCAACGAGAAATCCGTCCCGGTGTGGGGTCCGAGGGCTCCAAGGGCCAACGTCGCGTAGAGTGTAGAGTTCATGACGTTGTGGGTGGTGTGTCTTCCTCGATCAAGATCCGAATTTGCACCTGGAAATTTGACGCATTCCAGTCGGCATCTGTCGAACGCACCGAGCTTACCCTATTCTCTATCCCCCCCTCCCCTCCACAACTGCACAGTGAGGGTGCTTCCCTCTCTCCCCAGGTAACGTCTTACTTTGCGCCCGTCTAGATCACACACACACACACACACGTTCACTTACTCAGGATTGTCCCGAGTCCACGGATCTGGCGCGTGGGCGCCAGATCCACGGATCGGGGACAGCACCGCGCGACCTGCTCCCGGGGTGGCGATCTCGCTGGAGGGCTCTGGAGGGCCTGACGACCTGCAGGTCTGAGCGGCCATGTGACATTTTTTGTTTCTGTGACCCTGTGAGACATTACTAAAGGCGGATGCGTCATGTCTTCTTCTTGCCATCGGCGCGGCCCTTGCGGCGCGCTTCGAAGTAGGCGTTGTGCACCTTGAGGTACCCCTTTATCACCTTGACTCCCCAGAACAAGTTGAGACAGTGCGGCAACACCATGGCGGAGCAGGCGTACACCTCCGATCGCTTGATCTGTGCTGGCCCTTCCCTCTTCCGCGCACCCCGGTGCCGCCTCCGCATTCACGCTGCTGCTTCTACGTGCAAGCGCTTGCCATGTTGTGGGATTTAGCAGGCACGGGATTACGTCGCACAACCATCATCGTGAGGGCGCCTTCGCGGGCACGAGAACGCGCACCATCGTGCAACCGGGCGCAAGCAGGCGCAAATGAGAACGCGTGCACGCTAATGCGCGGGCGGGCGAGTGTGTACGCGCAACCGTAGCCCGAGCACGCGCATGCGCGTACACACTCGCCCGCCTGCGCATTAACGCGCTGACGGGCATCACACGTACGCGCACCTGTTTGCATGCCCGCGCGATCTTGTGCACGAGTGTGCGGGTGAGGGTACGTGCCCGTACGCACGCACGCCCATGCGCGCATGAATCCCCCAATTTAAGTATAAGCGCAAACGCGTAAACAAACTGGCACTAGCAACACACACGCACCCAAACAAAATGCACTACATCGCCACAAAGAAGCATGCACACAAACAAGCCAGACGAACGAACGCAAGCGCGCACACGCACACACAACATACACTTGCCGTGAGGCAGCGTGGACAAAGTGCAGCAACGCTGCAAGTGGTTCTGTAAGCAAGCCCGAATGGCGCCGCCCACGTACCCAGAGACACTTTTTGGCCCTGCGCGCAACGCCAGGGCGGAGAAGGTCTACCAACAAGAAGCGCGCTCGGAAACGAGGAGCACCCGAACCCTCACAGATCGCTTTGGAGCTCGGTACCCAGGTACTGACTTACATGCAGCCGTATGACTGGCTTCCTTGCCTTCGTGGGGAGTAGCGGTTGCTCTTCTGACAGCCCAGCGTTCTTTTCTACCAGCGTTGACTCCAATTAGGAAGCTTCCCGAATGATGCCATAGGGCTCCATAGGAACACCTATAGGATTCCAATAGATCCCATTGGAATCCGCCACCGTGTCTGCACGGAATGGGCGTGTCAAAATGCTCATCTGTTGCCTCGTGGTGAGTTTTTGGTTGAGTGACTACCTAGGCTGACCCCCCTGCTCGCACGCGACCTTCGAACATCGGCCTTCCTGCATTTGCTCTGCAGCGCTCCTTTCGGCCTCCAAACGGCAAAGATGGCCTCCACGGCGGCTTCCGAGGCAGTTAAGATGACACCGTGGCGGCCTAAGCTGGGCCCAATACCACTCAAGAGGCTCCGACGACGGCCTCAAGATAGGCCATGATGCCTCCAAGACGGCGGCCCTCCATGATATCCAGGAGACCCCGAGGAGACAACCACCATGGATGTTCGTTGAATGTTTGAAAGGTTCAGGATTTCTGGCCTGGTTGGGGTGGCGACCGCCCAAGATGGCCAACTGGGCCTCCGATATAGCTCCAACGCAGCCAGAAAAAACACCCTCGCCCCCAAAGCGGGCTCCAAGACGGCCCAAAAAACCACCAAGATCCCCCAAGAGGACCTCGAGCGGCACTCACGACGCTCCACGATGCTCTCCAGACCGCCAAGAGGCCACCCAAGCGTACCACGATGCCTCCAAGAGGTAACCACGGCGCCCCAATATGCCCCCCCAAGAGCCGCCAAGAGGACCCCAAGACGCCACAAAAAGTATCCGAGAGACCCCACTAACCATCCCAAGAGACTCCGCGATGCATCCAAGACGCCTCTTGCCCACAGGGGCTCTCCAATCTCTCCAAATAATGCCACGCTCCCCCGATCAGGGCAACTCCCTTGAGCATCGTTCCTGGATGGGCTGGTGGGAATATTTTTTGTCGCAGCCGCAGGCGAGAGCGCCAGCGGCGAGCCAGGTCCGAGCGGGCCGCGCAAGAGCCGACTTGCCTAACGCCGACGGGCCGGCGACCACAGCAGCGCCTCGGCGGGATTGGTGGGAATCCTTTTTTGGTCGGCGGCCGCGCGACGACGGTCTGGCGGCGAGAGGCAATGTCCGGGGCGGGCAGCGCAAAGCTAATTGCACACAGAGCGTGCAGTTGCACATGCACTGAACAAAATGCTCAGCATTCACCAGCAGACGCACCTAGGCGCCGCCCAGTAAACCAAAGTGTACAAGCGGCCACGGGTGCGAGCGCAACGGAGTGAGTCGCCCTTGCGGCGCCAAGCTCCGAGCAGCCGACCCGGCTAGCAACGATGCACGCGCCCGGGTAACGGGCTGCTGGCGGTGGAAAACAAGGGGCCGAAGGCGCGGAAGGCTGAACCACTCAGCGCGCAGCCCTCGAACTCCACCGCAGAGTTGGGGGGGCCGGCGGCACCCATCGCATCGAGTCCGGCGCCTGCGGGGAAGGCCCGGGGATGGTGCGACGATGCGTAAACCGCGAGCTGTACCAGGCAGCAACACTCAAGGCGAGGCAAGGTGGGAATACGCGAAGCGTTACCAATTCAAACTCCTTCCTGCTACCTTGTTAAACTGGAACGGTGGCGAGGTTATCCCCATGCAGCTGGCTTACCATAGCACTCTGCAGGATTACCCAATGGACTCCACAGGAGTCCATTGGGCTCAATTGGACTCCATTGGACCTCATGGCTGATTTGGGGCGCAGTGTGATACCCACACGAATCAATAGGACTCCGACGGTATACCCATAAGACTCCATTGTACTCCTACCTCTTTTGGGATCCATTGGAGTCGGACTCCGTTGGAGCCCATTCACCTCCAGAGGACTCCACAATTAGGACTCTGCAGGATGGACTCGGTTTGGTTCCCTGGGACTCTGTGACTGCATTGGACTCATTTGCTCTCCAGCGGGTATGGCTTCATATGAACACATTCCAGGCGAGTCCATTGGAACACCGAGGAACCCTGTTTGAATTTTCATGGGAACCCACTGGGATGCGCACTGAATACCATCGGGATACCACGGAGATCGAATGAACTATCCGTAAGAACCAATGAGAATATCCAAGATCTTGCAACACCAACGCCGGGGGGTGGACGGATCCCCTTCTCCTTGCGCTATCCGCCACCGTACCGTGACGCACGAATTGGAAAGTGCTCAGGTCAGCTCGGTTTCTCCGTGTTGCGCACGGAAACTATATCCCAGCCATCCTGTGGTGTTGGGTCCTCGTTTTGAAGAGACGGTCCCCGCGTTCCTCTCCTTCCTAGCTTTCCTTCCTTCCTCCCCCCCTACTCCTCCAGCTCCTCCCTCTTCCCGTCACCCCCCTCGCTTTGGTTTGGCACACCCCTGAGACGTGTCGTGGCCTCATAGGGAGCTCCGCCGAAGGCCCCCGTGCCACAGTCCACATGCGCCGCCCGCACCCATGTCGGCACACCCCTCGCACGTTCCGTGGCCCCATAGGGAACTCCACCGAAGGCCCACGTGCCACCGTCCACATGCGTCCCCCGCACCCATGTCGGCACACCCCTCACACGTTTCGTGGCCCCACAAGGAACTCCACCGAAGGCCCACGTGCCACCGTCTACATGGCCCCCCACACACACATTTCGGCACACCCGTCACACGTTTCGTCCCCACATAGGAAGCTCCACCAGAAGCCCTAATACCACCGTCCACATGCGCCCCCCCCCCCCACACACATTTCGGCACACCCGTCACACGTTTCATGGCCCCATAGGTGGCTCCACCGAAGGCCCCAGTGCCACCGTCCACATGCGTCCCCCATACCCATTTCGGCTCCCCCCTCACACGCTTCGTGGTCCCATAGGGAGATCCACTGAAGGCCCCAATGCCACCGTCCACATGCGTCTCTCGTACCCATGTCGGCTCCCCCTCACACGTTTCGTGGCCACACAAGGAGATCCACGGGAAGCCCGAATGCCACCGTCCACATGCGTCCCCACGCACATTTCGGCACCCTTCTCACACGTTTCGTGATCCCATAGGGCGCTCTGACGAAGGCCCCAATGCCACCGTGCACAGGCGCCCCCCACACCCATTTCGGCACACCCCTCACACGTTCCGTGGTCCCATAAGGAGCCCCACCGAAGACCCAAAGCCACCGTCCATATGCATCCTCCGCACCCATTTCGGCACACCCGTCACAAGTTTCGTGGCGGAACTCCACCGAAGGCTCCAATACCACCGTCCACATGCGTCCCCCACACACATTTCGGCACACCCGTCACACGTTTCGTAGCCACATAGGGAGCTCCACCGAAGGCCCACGTGCCACCGTCCACATGCGCCCCCCACACCCACGTCGGCACACCCCTCACACGGTTCGTGGCCCCATCGGGAGCTCCACCGAGGGCCCCAGTGCCACCGTCCACATGCGCCCCCCAGCCCTTTCGGCACCCTCTCACACGTTTCGTGGCCCCATAAGGGGCTCCACCGAAGCCCTAATGCCACCGTCCGCATGCGTCCGCCGCACCCATTTCGGCACACCCCTCGCACGTTCCGTGGCCCCATAGGGTGCTCCACCGAAGGCCCCAGTGCCACCGTCCACATGGGCCCCCCCCGCACCCATTTCGGCTCCCCCCTCACACGTTTCGTGGCCCCAAAAGGAAGTCCACCGAAGGCCCCAATCCCACCGTCCGCATGCGTCCGCCGCACCCACTTGGGCTCACCCCTCACAGAGTTCGTGGCCCCATAGGGGGCGCCACCGAAGAAGACATTCACAACTGCGGTACTCACAGCTGCATATGGTTGGGTCCCTCGCCAGGCTCATTTTTTTTCCGGTTGCCGAGGCCCCAGCTTCCCAAGTCTCTCTGGAGCTTTTGGGCGCTCTTGGGGTCGGTCGCGCGACTGTTGCAGAGGCCAGGGAGCGCTAGGACGGGCCAAGAGTGGCCCAGAATGCGGCCAAGAGGGTTCCAGAGGGCCCAAGAGCGCGAATGCCCAACATAGCCCCACGACGGTCCAAGCGGCCCCCAAGAGGCCCCAAGAGCGTTCCAAGCGGATCCCCGCCAGGGCCCCAAGAGGCCAACACCATTGATTGTACTCCGGTTTTTTCTGAGATTTGAGTGGTCTCGGCTTTTTGGGCTTTCGACGCTCCGAGGCGGCCTAAGAGGCTCTCAAGATCGCCCCAAGACGGTCCAAGAGGCCCCCAAGAGGGACCCCAGGCGTCCCAAGATGGCCCCAAGACGGCCGAAGATGCCCCAAGACGGCACAAGAGGCACCCAAGAGGAGCCTAAGAGTGAGAAGCCCCAGAGGGGGACCACGAACTGACGTTTCGAGCCTTCCGCCCCAAGATGGCCCGGAGACCGCCGGCAGGCGCCCAAGAGACCCCCCACAAGCTCAAGGAGGTCCCCAAGAGACCCTCGAGAGGCCCCCAAGGCACCCCTCAAAACGAATTCAAGATACTTCGGAAGCGCCTCCCAAGAGATTCCCGCGAACATTCTAAATGCCTCTGACCTACAACACAGGCGCGGTGGCGGAATGGGACGGTAACCACTAGATACATGCACACGTGCTCCTGAATACCGCGTGTCATACACTAGGTCGGGTTGACATGCATACAACTCCGGAACAAGCAACCAACCCTAAAGTGCACAACGACTTCACTCCTCCGCTAATGACACAAACCTCGCAATAGACAATCATTCGCAAAAACTGCCCCCCATCACGAGACATCAACCCGACATGTGGCCGCTGGCGAAGCTGGAAGAGGAGCCGTTGGAACACGGCATGAGCTGCTTCGGGCACCACAGAGAGTGCCACTGCAGCTGCCGCAGCTGACGGCCCCGGGGCCCGGGAAGGGCCCCACGAGGCCGAACACGGCAAACAAAACCTCAGGACCCCGTTTTCTTCAGGATCCATGTTTTCATTGCGTCTTTCCTCCTCCTCCTCCTCCTCCTCCTCCTGGCACCTGCCACCACTGTATGTCAACGTCGGGCGCAACGGCTCTCATAGTGGACATCGTCCAGGGCGGCACGCGGAACATCGCCACCAGCTGCGGCACGGCGCCCACCATTCGCACGACCACGAACGTGAGTGTGAAGATGAGGCCATTGACCTGGAGGACGGAGGAGGATTATGAGGAGAGGGGGCGAGAGAGGATTATGCAATTTTGTCCACGACGCCCAAGGATACAGCACTTTGAAGGTGTTGGTTACTATCTGCCGTTGCAAAGCCTCTGGAGGCCTGCTGAGAGATCCGGCGACGTCTGGGCTCGGAGCGGTACCGAAGCTTACCAGAGGAGGATGTCATCGAGGATCATTCTCCCCCTCGTCCTCCCCCTCCCCCACCTCCTCCCCTCCTCCTTCTCCTCCTCCGCCCTCTGTCCTCCTTCGCCTCCTCCGCCTCCTGCGCCTGCTCCTCCACCTCCTCCACCTCCTCCTCCTCCCGTCCTCCGTCCTCCGTCCTCCGTCCTCCGTCCTCCGTCCTCCGTCCTCCGTCCTCCGTCCTCCCTCCTCCTCCTCCTCCTCCTCCTCCTCCTCCTCCTCCTCCTCCTCCTCTCCTCCTCCTCCTCCTCCTCCTCCTGCTCCTCCCCCTTTTGCTTCTCGCCCTCCTCCGCCCTCCCGCACGAGCGCGCCCTCCCGCGCGCGTGGAAGGTGGGGTGTGGCCACCGCCGCTACCTGCGCGCGCGGGGGCCCCCCGCGCAGAAGAAAAATCGGCCTCCGACCGATGCCCCGAAGCTGCTGGGCACTGCCCGTGACGGGCCCGGTGGGAGGAGGACGGATCGAGGTGCACGAGGCTCCTGGATGGAGGTGTCGGGACCTCTTGGCCTTTTTTTCATTCAGTTTCCGGATGCCTCCACGCAGGGCTCCAGGGACCTCTGGGGCAGCTGGGAGCTCTGGAGATGTCCTGGGGTGCACTGGTCGAGAATCCAGAGGAAGAGGAAGATGGGGGGGACAGGGAGGAGGAGGGAGGAAGAGGAAGGAGAAGGAGAAGGAGGAGGAGAGAGGACGAGGAAGGAGGGGGAGGATGAGGACCAATGTGAACCCAAGACGCATCAACGATGTTGGAAGACACCCTCCTTTCAAATTCCCTCTTCAAACGTCCTTGCAACAATAGATGTGCTCTCATTGCGAGAAGTGCCCCGTTGGAAGACACTCGTCTGAAAATCCTCAGGCTTGCCAGAATACAATTCCCGGGTCAACGCCACGAGTCAACATGACTGTTGCGTCTTGGTTCTTTCGTGCCAGAATCCAGCTCCTGCGACTTCAGCGCCGCGCTTCGATGTGACTTTATTGTTGCGTCCGTACAATCGTGAATCGTGCCAGGGCACAATTCCTAGGATTCGAGCAATACAGATCCTTAAAACTGTGACGAACTCTTACGATGAATGTGCGCGGCGCTGAGGCGAGAGCTACACTCTGGAAAAGAGCCGCTCTCCATGCTTAATCTTACGGCAAACTTTTAATACGAATGTGCGTGGCGCCAAAACGAGAACCACATTCTGAAAACGGGCCGCTCTCCATCTTTGAAGCTGTTGCAAGCTTTTAAAACGAGTGTTCGCGGCGCAAAGGTGAGAACCACATTTTGAAAACGACCTGCCCTCCATCCCTGAATCTGTTGCAACTTTAAAGCTCCAGTGCCATACCATTGTGGGGACATCTCAAGTGAAACGCCCTGCTTGCCCTACTGACACGTCTGGGGGTGCGACAGGGAGGAGTTATTTGTAAGGAAAAGGGATGGAGGAGGACGGGGGTGGAGTGGGGAGGAAGGTTTTGTATGCAGGGGAAAGAGAAGGGGGGAGGAGGAAGGAGAAGGGGGAGGAGGAAGGAAGGGGATCAGGAGGATGTGGGCGACGCGCTCTGGCCAGAAACGAACACTCGGCCTCTGGGGGGCCTCACGGGGGCCCCTGGGCCATCAGAAACGGCTCGGGATGACGCACCGACCCTGGAGAACCCAGACATCCGGCGCCCTGGTTCTCCGATGCGTGGGCCCACAGACCTCTCTGCCCTGCCCAACGCGAGCTAGAGGGCCGTACGGTTCTTCGTCCAGGGTTCTCTCTGCTGGCCCAGGAGCCCGCAGCTGCTCCCCGAATGCCAAAAACGAGGGCCGACCCGCCGCCTCGACCTGTTCGAGGCGCCGGATGCCTGGAAGGTGTCGAGAGGTCAGGGGGTGTCCATGCTGTGAGACCACGTCGGCCTCCAGCGTCCCGAACAACAGCTCAAGGCGGCTTTGTTTCGCCACTCTCCCCCGTCCCCCCCCCCAGCGCTATCTTGGAGAAGGCGCAGGAAGTGGCGAGAGGGAGACAGCAACTCTCGGCCACCAGGGGCCGTTTCTGGGCCCCGGGGGCTGTGAAACAACGGGTCGGAATGGAAGGCTTTAATCTTGAGGAGCGGGTCGGGACTGTCAGGGGGCCGCGTTGGGATGAATACGATCTCCGAGGTCTGGGACTACTTTTGTTAGCGATTCGCTTCCCTTCCCTTCTCTTCTCCAGGTCGCCTTGTAGATCAAATCGCTCTTCCTGCCGAGGGTGGTCAGAAACCAATTGCACGTCATAAAAATGCTGGAGAACTCAGTCGAGATCATGATGAGAACGTACCTCGTGCTGCTGGCGGCCCCACCCTCCTCCTCCTCCTCCTCCTCCTCCTCCTCCTCCTCCTCCTCCTCCTCCTCCCCGTCCTCCTCCTGCAGAGTTGTGAGGGGGTTCTCTTGCAGGGCAAGCGCCGCTGGCATCAAAAGCATGATCGACCAACCCCGCAGGCGCGTATAATAGTGAGCCCCCACCCACCCGCATGTATCATGCACATTGTGCATTCTACACTAGGCACGTCACAAAACAAAAAAACCTGCGCTGCCAGCAGCTGCCGCACGGAAGTCTTGTTATCCCCGAAGGCCCTACGGACCCGCCGAACCCTTCGGGACATCTCAAGAAACTCAGGAATCGTCGACACACGTGTGTCTGCTGCACTCGACGTCACAGCCAGCGCACTCTACGCAAGCGCCCACATCTTAGAGCAAAGGCCTCCTGCGCGTCCCCGAGGGCCGCCACCGCGCGGCCCCACGGCGTCGGCCCCTCGGGACCCGCCGCCGCCCCCACAGGGCCGCGCGGCCCCCCTGACTGGGCTTAGGTCGGGCATGTCCTCCTACAGGCGGACTTTGGGAAGACAAATAAAGCATAGCCAACAATTAAGCAAGCGTGATCAAAAGAGCACGAAACAGCGTCACCAGAGTATTTGTTTTACTACTCTCGACACTTCCTCCTGTCGAGGGACATGCCCGACTTGAGACTAGCCTCCGCCGGCCCTCGCCACGGCTGAAGGAGAAGAAGACGAGGAGAGTAAGCTAAGCGCAACGACCTGTGATCGCCCCGATGCGGCCAGCACGTGTGCGTCTTGAGAAAGGCTCGCGTGAGGTGAGCCCCACCGCTGACAGTTCCGTGGCCAGGGCGAGCGACGCGAGCTGGCTCAATAGCGAACGCCGAGCTAAGCTAACCAGCAGGCTGACCCAGACCTCCGAGGACGCGGTTTGTTGGAATCGCCGCCCCTTGGGGCCCCTCGGCCAATCTCCACGACTGGCTTCTCATCCAGGATATTTTTTGACTGCCCCAGGGCCCAGACACGGCCCCCGGGCACCACACATTGCGAACAAAACTCTGGCGCGTGCCGAGTATCCACTGGTCTGGGCAAGCCAAGCCGACCTAGCATTAGGTCGGGCCTGTCCCCCTACAGGGGGACTTTAGGCGAAAAAAAAAACAATTGTCAATGGTCAAACATATTCAAAACATCGTCCCCAGACTATTTTTTGGTCCCCTGTAGAGGGACAGGCCCGACTTAAACCTAGCACCCAGCACACCATGAGCTGGCCAGCCCCCCTAACGCCCAGGCCACAGATCCCAGAACCGGTCCCCCCCTTCCCCGCCAGCAGCCAGCTGAATGAATAATGCAGTCGTCGAGGGCGTGGGGGACAAGGAAGACGAGAAAGAACAGGACCAGGCTGAGGATGATGAATGAATCCGGGCTCATCCCTCCGCTCGGGAGCTGCAAGGGACACCCAGACTTCTCCGACCCTCCAGGAGGCTCTTACCCAACGGGCGACTTCTTGTGGGCGACGCAAAGAACGGCAAGATCAACCGGCATCGAATCGGGAAATCGGAAACTCGGATCGAATCGATAATATGTGTGTCGGATCGAGCAGCCTCAGCTCGGAGTCGAAATCAAATCACACCGGCTGGGCCAAGATGCACCACAACGCCATGCAACCGTCGGGCCACATCGGATCGTCGGAATATCTGAATCGAATCGGCCGGAATAATCGATAACGAATCGGATCGATCGGATCGAACTTGACACTGGAAGCGGCCACGGGGACCCGAAACCGGAGAAAGACCTCAAGACCCGCTTGCTTCGTGGCGAGAACTGTCCGCGCGGCCGACCTTTTCTTTGTTTGCGTCGCCCATGCCTGGGCACCCTCCTGGCCGTCCAGGCCGGCCGTGCGACGACGCCGCTGGGGGAGGGGGGGAGGGGCAAGGGCGGGGTACCTGGAGCAGTAGTTGTAGTAGACGGTCATCGGCCAGATCGCTATAGACCTGACGACGCTCGGTCTTCGATGCTCAGAGGTAGCCAACATTGGTGGCAAAAACGCGCGGTACTCTGAGGACGCATACGTATTGGCCGCCGGATGAGGACGGGCGGATCCCTGCCTCCATTTTTGAAGGTTTTCCGCCGGCGAGCTGGCGTCCCCAGGCCCTATCGAAGACCTGTCGCGTGGCGCTTTGTTAAGTTGACACCTTTGGGCTGGTCGGCGGAAACGGATGAGGACGGGCTGACGAGGCAAGGGCGGAGACTACTGATCTTCATGGGGAAAGATACATGTTACCAGGGACGGGGGGCAGTAGGAGGGAGGTAACCGTGACGGTGGCGCCAAGGGGGAGGGGGGTGCGCAGCAGCAGAAGCAGCACCAGGAACAGTAGCAGGAGGCGCAGCAGCAGCAGGGAAGAAGAGCACCAGAACAGCAGGAGGAGCAGCACGATGATAAGGAGGAGCACCAGAGGAGCAGCATGAGGAGAAGCACGATGAACATAAGCAGAACGACCAAAGAGAGGGAACACCAGAGCAGCAAGCAGGAGGAGACGGAGTAGCTGCAGGAGGAACACCAGAGGAAGAGCACCGAAGGAGCAGGAACAGGATGAGGAGGAGGTGGAGGAGGAGGAGGAACAGGATGAGCAGCAGCAGCAGCAGCAGCAGCAGCAACAGGAACACTGGAGGAGCAAGACCATCAGGAGGAGGAGGAGGATGAGAAGGAAGAGGAGGAGAAGCAGGAGGAACAACAGCAGCAGGAGCAACAGCAGCAGGAGCAGCTGCAGGAATAACAGCAGCAGGAGCATCCGGAGGAGCAACAAGGAGGAGCAGCAGCAGGAGGAGCAGCAGGAGGAGCAGCAGGAGGAGCAACAGTGAGGAGCAGCAGGAACAGCCCGAGGAGCAGCAGCAGGAGCAGCGGCGGCACTGGAGGAGCAGTAGGAACGGGAGGAGGACGAAGAGCAGGAGCACCAGCAGGAGCAGAAGGAACACCGGCTGAGCAAGAACATCAGCAGCATGAGGAGAAGGAGGAGGAGGAGGAGGAGGAGGAGGAGGAGGAGGAGGAGGAGGAGGAGGAGGAGGAGAAATAGCAAAAGGGAGGAGGCATGGCAGGAGGAACAGCTGGAGGGGCAACCAGAATACCAGCAGGAACAGCTACGGGAGGAACAGCGGAAACAGGATCAGGATGTGGAGCATGAGGACCAGCAACAGGAGGAGCAGCAGGAAACGCATCGGGGAGGAGCACTGGACCAGGAGGAGGAGGAGCATCAGAGCAGGAGGAGCAGGACGAGCACCGAAACAGCTGGTGGAGCAGCTGGAGGAACAACACCACATTCCCGTTCCTGGCGTTCTTGGCGTTACCGTTGCCGTTATGTGTATTATCTTCCAGGTGGAAAAACAATCACACGGAAAGACAACCTCGGGAAATCGCTCGTCCTTGCTACGCGTGTTGACTGGATGTGATGGAGCAGCACGGTACGGAAATCGGTACCCAGTGAGCGACCGCCAGACATGCACGGCAGCACTCGCGAGCACGCGCTCGTCGAGCGGACGCCGATGCCGACACCCAAAGCAGCGACGTGCACAACGCCCGATGAACGTTTCTGCTCGGAACCGAGGACCCAGGGCACCCTTACAGTCATCGTGCTACCAGAGGGGATACTGAAGTAGGAACACAAGGGCTTTTCTGGCCACGGCGAGCCTCGGCCAGGAATAAATTCCCTGTCCAAAACCTAAGGAGCGGCCTTCAAACCAGAACCCGTCCTGAGCCCGAAGTGGCCCTTGCTTCAGCGTCTGGGCTGTGTCGGCCATCCGCATGGGCCCCTCCGCGAATGCCACCGAAGCGCGAGCTGCCTCAGTCGTAGTCGTCGTCGTCGTCGTCGTCGTCGTCGTCGTCGTCGTCGTCGTCGTCGTCGTCGTCGTCGTCCCTTGCTCTCCTTGCTCCTGTGGAGGCCTCCAGGCGCCCCCAGAGGCCCCTGGAGGCCCCTGCAACTGCCTCCGCGTGCCTCTGGAGGCACGGGAAAGGGCCACCAGGTCCAAACACTGCGAGCCTCGATGTTCCCCCTCCTGAGAATCGTGCAGCCAATCCCCATCCTCACCCGCATGGCCTTTGCCCCGCTGGCCGACTCACACCCCCCAGGTGGGAATCTATTATACAGTGCGCGTCGGGTTTCGTGGGACCTTTTCCCACCTGAGGTGCCATGGCCAAATGTGGATTGGGATCGGTTAGGCGATGCTGATCCCATGCTGATCCTCCTCCTCCTCCTCCTCCTCCGCCTCGACACTGCCCGCATGAAGAGATCGGAGAGAGTGCGTGCCAAGATTGGTGGAGAGCGCGCACGCGCGAAGGCACCGCCGAGGCGGGCACCGCGCGCACAGGCTCCCCGATCTGCCGATCGCCAGCGCGTGTCGGCTACGCGCAGGAGTGGTGACCTCTGGTGCGCGGCTTGATAGGGGGCCGCGGGGGGGGGAGGGGGGGGCAATCCTCAGCGTGCTGGCCTGTGCTGTGGGATCACTGTGGGCCCGCACTAGAAGGCCACTCCGGCGAAGGGCCACTCTTACGATTTGGAATGGGTGCGGAAAGATGGGCACGATGCCCAACAACAAGTGTGGCCCCAAACCGGCAGCGGCCGCTGTTGGGCAGGTGTGGCCTTCTGTCTCAAATGCACAGCGTCCGCAGCGACGCCGACAGCGAGTCCTGTTCAGCATGGACAGGAACCGCTGTTGGTCGTCGCGCCACCTCTTGCCGTACCCATTCTTTTCGTTTGAGCAGGGACCGACCGTCCCGGCATTCCTATAGGCCTACCACGACATGTTCGTAGAACCCAAACATGTTCTAAGAGCAAAAAACAATGTTCTTAGCACATAAACCCGTTGAAACAGGGCAGTCCCAGCCAGGCATGTTCTGAGAACATGTCGTGGGAGCCACAAAAGGCTCTTAGAACATCGTTTGGCAGGCCCGTAGGCACGCCAGGACGCTTCGCCACTGCTTGATTCGTGCCGGTACGGGCAGCCGAGCGTGGCCGGCAGCCCGCTGCCCTGAGCCGGCGGCAGGGCGTGGTGGGCGATCATGATCGCGTCGTCGGCGCGGGCGACGCGCCGCCCCTCCGGCCCCCAGGCGCCCCAGCAGGGCAGGAGCGCGAGGTCTCCGAGCACGGGCGGGGGGGCCCTGGCGCAGAGGCGGCCGTGCCTGGAGGCCCCGAGGGCGCCCATCTCTCATGGGACGCACAAAGACATACCAGTAGCACACGTTCTCCTTGGAGGCGCGTGTCCGACCCAAACATATAGTATACCCATCTTGTAGTAGATCATTTCCCGAGCGGTGTGGCCAGAAAGCGCCCGCCACGACGCATGCACTATAAGATTTCTCGGTGCGCGCATCGCCCCCGGGGGGCGACGCACATATGGTAGAAGTATGTTGGGGTGACGCCGATCTCACGCGGCTCAGCAAGGCCCAGGCTGCAGCAAAGGAACTTTAGCACTCGAACATCACAGGAGGAAAAGGTACCGATACCGCTAGCCTCGAGAGTCAGTCTCGCCTCTTTGGGCCTCCTGGGGCTCCGGGGAGGCCCTCATCGCCACGGCTGGATTCGCTTGGCAGTTCTGGTCAGGACGCACCTGGGAAAGGTCCAGGGCTGCAGTTTCCCACGAAGAGTTCTACAGGCACACCTCATGCTTCCTCCATGCGAGGGTCCAAACGCTTCCCGTGGGCATCGTTTAACCGATCCGTATCCCCACTGACGTGGCCTTGGTCCCAGTGGCCGATTTACCCTCCTAGATGGGGATCTGTGCCGTTCCCAGCTGGGGGGGTGGGATAGTGGGGCTGAGATATCGTGGCCCAAGTGGGGCCGTGGATCGGTTGAACGAGACTGACCCCCCCCCCTAACCGTCAGAGCGACCCAGAGAGCGCAGCACGAGCCGCGACCGCCCCGCGGAGGCCTCGCAGCCCCAGGCCCCCAAAGACCAAGAGGCCGCGGGTGGGCGCTTGCCGCCTGCTTGTGGGCTCGGCAGCGCGCTCGAAGCCCAGGCCGGCAGAGCTTGCCCTGATGACGTGCGGGCCAGCTGCCCCAAACCGAGGCTCAGGAGGCTCAGGAGGCCGCGGGCCCCCCCGTTCCTGGCCCCGGCGCTTCAAGGATGAGGCCCTGAGGCACGGGGCCCTGGGGCGAGGAGGCGCTGAGCAGTGCAAGAAGTCAACCTGGGAGCCCCTCCCTCTCCTCAGGGCCCCCTCCCACCTTCGAACCACCACCGATGGCCGGCCCTGACCTCCCGAGCCTCCTTCGGCGCCAGCACGCCCCAGGGGGCCCCCCCGGGAATGTAGCCGAGGGTGATCGGCATCAGCGCCCGCACGCCCGGCGGCGGCCCCAGGGACGTGTCGCGGGCCATGGACCAGGCCGCCTGGTGGCCGCTCCTCTTCTCACTCGCTGGCGCGAGGCAGGCGCGCGCAGGGCAGGAGCTGCTCGGCGTCGGCGGTGTTCGCGCGGGGCGACGGCGGGGGGCGTGAGGGCCTGGGGCCCCTCCGGGGCCCCAGGCGGACCCCGCCCGGGGGAGACCAAGAAGTACCGATACCGTTCCTCCCCGGACCTCTCCCCGGGTGCGTTCTCACCAGGGTTTCGTGGAGAGTCCAGAGGTGGCGACGAGGGCCCTCGAGGAGGCCCCCCCAAAACGAGGGAAGAGTAGCGGTACGGGACGGGTACCTTGTCCCCCTGTGGCCGAGATCGGGGCGTCCCCCCAAAGCGCCGACCGCTGCATCCCCGAACGACTACGTGACTGGCATCGATCGAAGCTCTGGGCCGACGTCCATGCCCATGTCCACTGCCTCGCGGCCGCGACCTCATGCAGACCAGGGGCGGCGTTGCGCGAAACGCCCCGCGCGGAACGCGTCCGTGCGATCGCGTATGCATGGGATCGCGCCCCAGAGTTCAGAACGCGAGGGCAGGATATTTCAGGATATGCTTAGGTCGGGCATGTCCTCATACAGGTCGGCACGTCGGCATTGGAAGAACAAACAACAACAGTCAACAAATGACCAAGAATAGCCAAAAGAGCACGAAACATCGTCACCAGACTATTTTCCACTATCCTTGAGCATTCCTCCTGTAGAGGGACATGCGCGACTTAAGGATTCGCTTGTCGCTCGTGGTTCATGCTGAAACTTGGCCTCGATCTAATGGCCTTCGGCCCATCCCGCCTCCGTGCCTGGGCTGTGGGTATGAAGCCTGTTGGATGCTCGTTGGGATCTTGTGGGAGGCCTCTCGGGGGCCTCTTGGAAGCAGTGAGGCCTCGTGGGGGCCGTTTGCCTCTCGGGGCATCTTTTGGGCATCTTGGGTCTCTTGGGGGCGGGGGCCTCTTGGGGTCTCTTGGGGCCTCCTGGGCGCCTCTTGGGGCCTTCTGGGGGGCCTCTTGGGGCGGAAGGCTCAGACTTCCAGGAGTGCCTTCTGCAATCCTCGGCGGGAGAAAACGAGTCGGCGGAGAATCCTTGGATTTCTTCGGCCTCCTGTGGCTGCCACCAAGCGAGCAGGGATCACCAAGCGGGCCCCAGATCAAGGGGTCGAGGTCCCAACGGGCCCACGTCACGAAACGACGGTGGCATCAGAAAGGAGAGGGTCAGTCCCACGACCGCCGGGCGCCGCCGAAAGAAAAACAGGCCTCCGAACTCGTCTCGGGCCCCGGGGCCCCACGACGCCAGCAGAAGCCGCCCGCGACGCGCAGCCTGGCCCCTGGGGTCGGGGACGCGCTGGCCCAGGTCAGCGCCGACCCGGGTCTTAGTCGAGCAGGGGCATGCCGCGGCCCGTTGCCGGCCGCGTGCCCACAGACCCACGGGAGGGAGGCCCTCAGACCTGACCTCGCCAAACAAAAAGCATCGCACACACACCATCGCTGGAGCGCCCCGGAGCCCGTCTTGCTGCGCCACTTTTTGAACTGCACTGATCTGGGAAGGTCCCGGGAGGGGCCTGTGCAGCCGGGCGAAACACACCCGCGGCGAGCAAAAACGCAGCGCCAGGATCTCAAGGGAAGGGGCGAGTCGGGGGGATCGGTCCCACGTGGCCCAGCCCGAGGGCATCGGCTGACCCCCGCCAGCGCCCACGCTCCGTTGCGTGCTGCTCGACAGGGGGATGGCGGTCGGGAGCTCCCGGGGCCCCTGCCGCGGAGGAGTCGCGACGTCGGGGGCATGGGCTTCTCTGCCGCTGCACCGCACATCTTCCCTTGGCGAGGAGTGGCGTGCTGTCCTTGCGTTTTCACTCTCCCTCCTCCTCCGCCTCCTCCTCCTCCTCCTCCTCCTCCTCCTCCTCTCCTCCTCCTCCTTCTCCTCCTCCTCCTCCCTCCCTCCCTCCCTCCCTCCCTCCCTCCCTCCCTCCCTCCCTCCCTCCCCCCTCTGGAGCGAGCGTCGGTCCCGACAACCGTCGGGCAGCGAGCGACTAGTGGCCGGAGCGTTCAGCGGAGTGCCAGGTGCTCGGCGGGCAAGGAGTAGCTCGGCCGCCTCCGACTGGTGCGGAGGGCGGGCTGCGCCTCCCTCCCCCTTGTGCGTATCACAGTGAGGTGTTCTCCTTCTCTGGAGCGAGTCGTGGTCGCGGGGGTCGTCTGAAGACGCTGAGAGGCACCGCGTGCTCAAAATCAGTCTTTGGAGGTTCCAGAGGGTGAGCGCCGCCTGGCCTAAAACACCCCGAGGGCGCTCTCCTGCGTGCCCGCTCGCACGCGGCGCTGTCTGGCGCGCCCCAAGGACGCTCTCGTGCGCGCCCGCTCGCACGCGGCGCTCTCTGGCCCACCCGGAGGTTGCTCTCGTGCGTGCCCGCTCGGACGCGGCGCACTCTGGCACGCCACGAGGGGACTCCCGTGAGTGCCCGCTCGCACGCGGCGCACTCTGGCGGCCCCGCGGGATCTTTCGTGCGTGTCCGCTCGCACGCGGCGCACTCTGGCGCGCCCCGAGGGCGCTTCCGTGCGTGCCCGCCGCTCGCACGCGGCGCTCTCTGTAGACGACTTCTCACGCAGCCCCCCTCCCCCCCGTATGGTTTTCGCGTGGCGGCTGCAGCTGGCGCCTTTTCAGGCGCCGACCTTGACGCGAGACGCGGAAGTGGCGCCGCACGCCGGCCCCCCGCGCGACGCGGTGTGCCCCCGGATCGGGCCGAACCGGGGGACGCGCGAGTCGCCCCCCTGCGCGCGCGAGCGCCGACCAGGCGAACTGCTCGGCGCCGCGCGCCGACCCCAGCGCGGCTGCAGCTGACGTCTTCTCTGAAGGGCCCTGGGACACACAAATAAGTACACACAAACAACACAATTCTCGATATTTTCCCATATTTTCTGGGTTTTTGTTTTCCCCACCACTTCCCATATTTTCCGGGCGATCGACGATTGATTGTGTCTATGTGTTTTTTTCCCCTCCTGATTCTCACGCCCCCCCCCCCCCCCCGGGTGGCGGTTGCGGCATTTGCGACGCCGCTGCGGCGCAACCGCAAGGGACGTCCGCGTGCGCTCGCGCGCCGCCGGCCGCGCAGTGAGGCGCCACCACGCGCTTGCGCTGCGCGCTGGCCGCAGCGCGGACATCGCTTGCCGAGAACGCACCTGAGGCTGCGCGAGGAGTCGTTCCGAAGGGGCCCTGGGACACACAAATAAATACACATAAATAACCGGATTCCCCATGTTCTCCCATATTTTCTTGGTTTTTGTCGTCCCCCCCACTCTCCATATCTTTCCATCTTTTCCTGGGAATCGACGACTCATACTGTCTGTGTGTGTTTTCCCCTCCCGACATCCCGCGTGCGCTCGAGCGCTGGCCCAGTCGCGCGCGTAATCGGGTTGGCCCCGCGCGCAAGCCCCAGCGCGATACACTGCGTTCCGAGATCGGGCCTCCCCATGCGACGCGCGAGATTCCGCCTGCACGCGCGCGCGCTATCCAGGCACGCCGGGGCGCTGCTTGGCGCCTGGCTCCGGCAAGGCAAGCATACAGTCGCGCAGCGGTGCATGTGTGGGGATGCGGCGCATCGTCGTTCGTCGTTCGTCGTTCGTCTATCGTCGTTTGTCTGCGTCGTTGTTCGTCACTCGGTGTTCGTCGTCGTTCATCATCGTCGTTTTTGTCGTTCACCTGCCGTCGTTCGTGGTCGTCGCTCCTTGGTCGCTGTTCGTCGTTCCTCGTTCGTCAACTGTCGTCTGTCTTCGTCGCTCGTGGTTCGGCGTGAGACGCTCGTCGCTATCTTTCGTGGCTTGTCGTCGTTCGCCGTTCGTCGTCGGTCGTGGTCGCCGATCGTCGCACTTCGTTCGCCGTCGAGCGTCGCCGTCGTCGAACGTGTATCGTTGCTGTTTTGCGATCGTTCGCATTTGGTCGTTCGTCACCGCCTTCTCTCGCTGATAGTCGCGCAGCGACACTCCCGCGGGGGATGCGGCGCGCGTCGTCTTCCCCCTTTGGAAGGGGGCTGCGTTGGGGTAGGGGAGAGGAAGAAACTCACTCTCGGGCGCAGACGAAGCAAGCTTGGGGGGCTGGGCCACGGGTATCGCGCACAGGAACATCCCACCCCCAACAATCCTGCTTGGGGGGGCGGGATTCGTGCGCGCACTCCGCAAAACCACCCTTTCCCTCTTCCTCTCCCTCTCCTTCTCCCTCTCCCTCTCCATTTCCTTCTCCCTCCTCCTCCTCCCTCTCCCTCTGCCTCTGTCCCTCTGCCTCTCCCTCCTCCTCTCTACTCCTTCCTCTCACCTCCTTGCCGTTCCCCTCCTCCCGGCTTCCCCCCCTCCGTCTCCCCCCACTGTGACCAGTCGGCCAGCCGTAATAATCCGTGGGTTGCTATCCGCCACCTCCTCCACCTCCTCCTCCCTTTCCTTCTCCTCCAACCCTCTTGAGCGAGCCGCTTGGGTGCATCCAGTGTTAACATCCTCCCTGAACTCTTCCCCTCCCCTGCCCAATTCCCTCCCGCGTCCTGCCCCCAAACAGGAGGCAACGCGCCACTGATTTGTCATCCATTATTCCCCCCTTCCCTTTCTCCCCTCCACCTCCCCCCCATGTTTCTCCCTCTGCCCCTCCTTTCCCCCGCCGCCCTCCCACGAGCGAAGAGGCGGGACATCTGAGCAATGCCTTCTTCTCGCCCCCCCTCCTCCCCTCACCCTCCACTCTGGGTGGTCGACAGGCGACATGACGATTTGTTCGGCCGAGTGGGGATAATTCGACGGGCGAGCGAGAACATTCCCCCCGGCGAACCGGGCAATTCCGCAAACCGAGCGTGGAAACAGTTTCGGGCAAGCGCGGGTTTTTCCTCGGTCGAATGAAGGAAAGAAGGTCGGGCGAGCGGAAACATATTCCCCGTGTAACGAGGAAACTTACAGACGCTGGAATAGGAAACTCCTGTTGGAAGCCTCCCGACACCACGGATAAGTGAACACCTTCGATAGAACCCTCATCTCCTCAATGCCGCCGAGACCCGAACGCCGTGAGAAACAACAAACCCTGTAAACGCATTCGTTTCTGTATACCCCCGTCTCCAGCCTTCGAACTTCCCTCTTCCGGTACGCAATGACCTCATACTAATGCTAAGCGAGCGTTTGAATAACACGCGCCTGTCCTAATTTTGAAAACTCACCCTTTTCCAAAGAGTCCTCAGCCACCCCGGGTTTTCAATTCTATGGCAGTGGCAATGACCGTTGGTCGGGCGGACGATACCTCACATAACAACCCATCACATGATCACAAGAAACCGTCCAACGAAGGAATTCACCGACGCTGGACTGGGAAATTCCCGCTGGAAACCTCCAGACACCACGGAGCGATACCCGTACCCGGACGCCCGCGAGAAACAACGATCTCTGTAAACGCAATCGTTCCTCCAGACCCATTTCTCCAACCTTCGAACTTTCCTCTTCCGATACGCAACGACTACATCACAACAGTGCAAAGCGAACGCCTGAATAACGCGTGCCTGCCCTAATTTTGAAAACTTTCCCTTTTCTCGAGAGCCCTCGGCCACCCCTGCTTTTCAATTTTGGGCAGCAGCCATTGATCGGGCGGACGCTACGCCACATAATTCCCATCACATGGTTGCAAGAGCCGTCCAACGATGGAACTTACCGACGGTAGAATAGGAACCTCCTGCTGGAACCGTCCAGACACCACGGAACGATACCCGAACGCCCGCGAGAAACAACGAACTCTGTAAACGCACTCGTTCCCTTAGACCCCCTGCCTGGCCCTTGTACCTCCCTCTTCCGATACGCAACGATTGCAAAACAAGGCAAAACGAACACCTGAATAACGCGCGCCTGCCTTAATTTGAATACGTCCCCTTTTCCACAAAGCCCGCGGCCACCCCTAGTTTCCAATGTTACGACAGTAACCGTTGGTCGAGAGTTCGCTACGCCAAATAACAACCAATCGCATGATTACAGGTCGCGCGCGCCAAAACAATGACTGGCAAGGATGCGAGGCCCGTTGGCGCCAGAACATACGCCTCATAATTGTCTTCGGGTGCGCTGAGCAGGCGAGGACGCAAGGGTGCCGTCGAGAATGCCACTCAATCATACCACGCGCGCTCTCAGGAAACAACTAATCAAAACCACTGCGCCAACCAACCCGTCGACGCACAACAAACGCGATCAGTCCCTCCGCCTCAAGACCACAGCGACCGCAAGAACGACATGCCCAATTGCCACAATGTCCCAGCACATGATCTGAAGCACCGACTCAAATCTTCAGAACGCAGTGTCCGAAACGCAGCACTCCTGACCACGTCGCTGCGTGCATGCACACCCTTCACTGTTCAAACTGCACCTGCTCACCGCGGTAAATACGCTAATCCAGTCGTTGCGCAACGGCACTACAGACAATTCCAAGGATTGGCTTGCTCCGACCTTGCCCCGTGAGCCCCGGTGAACCATCTGGATACATGCAGTCTGCCCTAATTGGGACCCCTCTTTGACAAAACAATATCAACCTCCTCAGGTTACCACGTTCAGGGCAAGAACAATGATTATGACGGCACCTATTCGACAAGACAACCAAGCACATGATTCCACGTAGCGCGTTTAATACACCAGATGCACAAGGATGCACGGGTGCTCTTGGGAAAACCGCACTACCTTACAATGCGCGCCAACCGACCTCGGCGACACTCACGAGATCCACTGCGCCGACCAACCAATTGATACACATTACACGTGGTCGGCCTTTCCGCCTCGAGGGCACTGCGACCTCCAGAACTGCATGCCGAGTTAAAGCAAAATCCTGGCCAGCGAGTTGAGACGCAACACATCTGGCCACACCGCCGCGCGCATGCACGCCGTCTACTCTCCAACTGCAACTGCCCGGCGCAACGCACAACGCAAAAACCGCGCCGCCATTCCGTGCCTCGTGACACGGCCCCCTCCTGCACTTCCTGACCTGACCCTGCCGCTCTCCCTCTCATTAAACCTTTCGTCTCTCTCTCTCTCTCTTTCCCTCTCTCTTTCTCTCCGCTTTTTTTTGTTCTCTCTCTCTCTCTCTCCGTCCCTCTCTGTATCACTCCCCCTCTCCCTCTCTTTCTCCCTTTCTCTCTCTCTCTCTCTCTCTTTCTTTCTCTCTCTCTCTCTCTCTCTCTTTCGTTCTCTTTCTTCCTTTTCCTCCCTCTTTCTTTCTCTCTTTTCTCTCCATCCGAAAGAACTGCTCTCCCGTCGGCCAAGAACATGCTCTCGTTGGGCTAGAAAGATTCCTCGTTCGACCGGACATTCCCCGAGAGTCCTCAGAGAATTTCCCGGTTGGTTTGGAACAATTTCCTCATTCGACCGAGAAACAAATACCTGTTCGGGGCCGCATTTCCCGGTTCGCGGCCGGATTTCCTGGTTCGCTTTTTCACCCCTTGGGACATCCCCCCTCCCATCCCCCACCCCCCCCACATCGCGGGCGAAAAGCACGTCCTTATCCGCGGCCTCGTGGGCTGGGCCCCTGGGCAGCGACCCGCGGAGATGGGGCGCTTTTTCGCGGATGCACTCCGCAGAACGCATCCGCGCGACTGCGTATCCGAGGGACCGCGCCCCAGAGCCCAGACTGCGAGGGCGCGGATAAGAATCTGTCCCCCGCTCGTGACCCTCCGCGCCCCGAGGCGGAAACCAAGACGATCTGAGCCGCCCCCCTCGCGGCAACACCCGCCGGGACTGGCCCAAAGACAGGACGGCCGCCTCCTCGCAGCCGAGGCAGGTGAGCGCCTGCACCGGGGAGGGGGGGGGGGGGCTCACGGGTTGCGGGGGCAGACGGACATCACACGGTCGGGAGCTTTTGCTCAGCGTGCCGCGGCGGCGGCCCCAGCGACACGCTATGCCATGCTGGCGGACAGCGTGTCGCTCCGCCTCGCGGGACGGGAACATGGGAAAACCTCGGGACGCCGACGCCTGGGGGCTGAGAAATGGATCGCGTATCGCGCCGAAGCGTGGTGGGTCAGAACCGGCGGCGCGACACGATAAGCATAGGTTCCTGACCGTACGGATGGCGGGGGGTGGGTGGACGGACATCACACGTCGCGAGGAGGCACTGATGCCGGATCTGCGCGGTGAGTAACATTACTCCAACAGATCCACGGCGCCGATCAGAGCCCTCTCCCTCCCTCCCTGCCTGCCTGCCTCCTCTGGGGCCCCCTGAACCCCTAGGACCCCCTGGAGCCTCCTGCGCGAAGCCTGCGGTAACTCCCAAACTCCCCTCCTCACCTCCCCCTCCTCCTCCTCCTCCTCCTCCTCCTCTCCTCCTCCCTCCTCCTCCTCGTTCTCCTCCTCCTCCTCCTCCTCCTCCTCGTTCTCCTCCTCCTCCTCCTCCTCCTCCTCCTCGTCCTCGTCCTCCTCCTCATCCTCCACGGCATCAAGGACACGCGCAAGAGAGACTGCGGGCGAGGTGATGCGTATCACGATTTGCTTCTCCAACCACTGCGCGACCTGCAATTGGCGGTGGTGGCAGCCATCAAGAAGAGAACGGGGTTTTGCAAGTGGGGCCTTCGCCGTGGGGCCCGCTCGTGCGGGAGGCTTCGAAATTGCGGGAGGAGCTCAACAATCTCACCTGAGGAGTGTCAGAGACTTGGTCTTGCTAGCGTCGAGTTCTCAACTGGGGAGTTCTACGAGTGAAGTCGCAGGACCTGGGGGTGAGCTGAGACGGCTCGCGGCACGTCTCGAAGTTTTGCAGGTACGAATGGCGGAGTCGTTGCTGAAAGGACACATATCATATGCCGCTTTGGGAGGGCGCAGGAGGGCAGTTTCAGGCCTCTGCAGCCGACAGAAAAGGGAGGGAGCGGGGTACAGTCGTGGCTAATTTGCAGGTCGACCCTGCCAAATCAAGAGCACCTTCGTGTCCTGTGTTTCGCGACCGATGCCTTCTACATTCCTGTGGCATTGTGGCCCTCGGAAGGGGTCTTGTGTCCTCTCGCGTGTCCTCTCAAATCAACCCCGGTTGTACGGGGGGGAGGGGGCGGGAGGGGCAGGAGGGGCACAGTGAGGCTAGCGGCTTGTGCCATCAAGCCCACGTATGGGCCATCCACGTGCCGCGGCGCGCTTGCAGGTCCCCGCGCTGTTCGCCTGCTCCCATCTGGAGTCGGCACACCAAGTGACCAAGAGACAGCTGAGCGTCAACGGTGCTCTTATCGAACTTATCTTATACCCTCCTCCTGCTCTTCCTCCCTCCTCCCTCCCCTCCCCTTCCACTTTCCCTGCTCCTTCCCCTTCCCCTTCCGCTTGACTCTGCGCCCTCCGCCTCCGCGTCCTCCTACTTCTCCACCTTTCCTCCCATTGTCCTTTCCCTGCAGGTCGTAAGGGATGAAGGCCTTTGACCACGGTCGGGTCCACCTCCTCCTCCTGCTCATTTCCTGTCTCTTCCTTCTCGCCCGCCTGCTCCTCCTCCACCTCCTCCTCAGCCTCTACCTCCACCTTCCCCTTCTCCCCCTCCTCCCGCTGCATTGCTATTCCTTATAAACAACTTATCCCTGTCGCACCCCGAGGCCAATTTTTAGGGCGGGCCGGGCCGGGCGTTTCGCCTGAGTCGTCCTCACCACTTGTGACCCTGAAACTTAAACTTGTCAGCAATTTCACAAATGGAGGGCGGATGTTTTTCAAAATGTGGCTCTCCCCATAATGCCGCGCACATGTGTTGTAAAGTCTTGTAAGAACTTCACGGATTGAGGGCGGGCCGTTTTCAAACTGTGGCTCTCGCCCTAGCGCCGCGCACATTCTTCTAACACTTTGTAAGAGTTTCACGGATTGAGGGCGTGCGGGTTTCAACATGTGGCTCTCGCCTTAGCACCGCGCACATTCGCTTTAAAAACTGCAAGCGTTTCACGAATTGAGGGCAGCTCCTTTTCAAACTGTGGCTCTCGCCTTAGCGCCGCGCACATCCGTTTCTATAATTTGCGAGAGTTTCTCGGATTCCAGTGATCAACGTACCAGAAATGACGCTTTAGAAGACTTCAACGTTATGAGGGTGCACCAGTTACGTTGATTCGCGGTGTTAGAGTCCCAGGAACTGCGTTCTGGCACGATTCAGGATGGTCAAGGCGCAATAGTCAAGTTGATCCGTTGCGCTGGAATCCCGGGACCAATGTTTTGGCACGCTTCAGGGTTTTCAAACGGTTGCCTCCCAACGAGACAGTTCCCTGTGGAAATGAACCTTGTAGGGCCTATGAAGAGGGAGCTTGGCGGGAGGGTTTATTCTATGATCGTTGATGGCTCTTGGGGTTACACTGGTCCTCCTCCTTCTTCTTCCTCCCACTCCTTGTTTCCTATTATTCTCATTCTCCAGCTCCTCCTCCTCCTCCTCGTCTTCTTCTTCCTCCTCCTCCTCATCCTCCTCCTACTTTTCTTCTCCTCCTCCTTTTCCTCCTTTTCCTCCTCCTCCTCCTCCTCTTCTTCTTTTTCTTCTTCCTCCTCCTCCTCGTCCTCCTCCTCGTCCTCCTCCTCCTCCTCCTCTTCCTCCTCCTCCTCCTCCTCCTCCTGTTCCTCCCTCCTCCTCCTCCTCCCCCTCCCCCTCCACCTCCTCTCCTCCTCCTCCTCCTGCCCCTCCTCCTCCTCCTCCTCCTCCTCCTCCTCCTCCTCCTCCTCCTCCTCCTCCTCCTTCTCCTTCTCCTTCTCCTCCTCCTCCCACCTCCTCCCCCTCCTCCTGTCATCCACCGACAGGGTCGGGCATCTCTCCGGGATCGGCCCAAGCGCGCTGCCGGGCCCAGGCGTTCTGTTGGGGCGGGCTCTTCCACGGGACCGGCCCCTGGCCCAGTGTGCGGCGCGGCCCGAAGCCTTGGCCACGATCGGGTCCTGGAGCAGTGCCGCCAGCGCGAGAGGCCCGGTGAGCAGGTGGTGCGTTATGCAAATCACCTGTCGGCTGCCGCGGCCGCGCAGGGGGTGACGCTCGACACCCTCGAGGCCACCCTCTTCCCCATCCCGTCTCCTGCCGCCGCCGCCGCTCCTGCTGCTGCGACTCGACAGGGGAAGCGCACCCCTGCCCCTGCTCGGGACTCTGCCGACTCGGTGCTCCGCGTGCTCCCTGCCCGCGCTGGCGACCGTCTTGGCGAGCGTGCTGGGACGACCGCCGCGCCGATCTCCTGCTCCCTGCTCCTGCTCCCGGCTGCAGCTTGCTCCTGCTCCCGGCTGCTCCTGCACTTTGCCGCTCGTGGGCCCTGCTGCTCCTGGCCGATTATTTTGTTTGCTATGTTTGCTGCTGTTGTTGATGATGTATATCCTCCTCCTCCTCCTCCTCCTCCTCCTCCTCCGCTCCTCTTCTCTCCTTCTCCTCTTCTCTCCTTCTCCTCCTCCTCCTTCTCCTCCTCCCAATCCTCCTCTTGTTTCCCTCTTCCTCCTCCTCCTCTTCCTCTTCCTCCTCCTCTTCCTCCTCCTCCTCCTCCACCTCAGCCGCTGAGCCACCGACTGTGTGAGAAAACCTCCACTTCCTCCTCCTCCTCATCCTCCTACATCATGTCTTTTCCTTATAAGCAACTCCTCCCTGTCGCACCCCGAGACGTGTCGGCAGGGCGGACCAGGCGTTTCGCGTGAGAGTTCCTCACCACGTATGGTACTCAAGCTTGACATTTGCAAGAGCTTCACGGATTGAGGGCGGGCGGTTTTCAAACTGAGGCTCTCGCCTACGGGCTGCGCACATTCGTCTTAAACGTTTGTAGCAATTTCATGGATGGAGAGTGGGCGGTTTTCAACATGTGGCTCTCGCCTTAGCGCCGCGCGCATTTGTTTTAAACGTTTGTAAGAGCTTCACGGATGGAGGGTGGTGCCTTTTCAATTTGTGGCTCTCGCCTTAGCGACGCGCACATTCGCCTTCCAAGCTTGTAGATGTTTCCCGGATGGAGGGGTGGCTCTCGCCTTAGTGCCGCGCGCATTCGTTTGAAGAGTTTACAGCTATTTCAAGGATTCTTATGGTTGACGTCCCAGAGATGGTGTTTGGTACGATGTATGACTGTCAAAGCACAAGGGTTTCGTTGATCCGCGGTGTTGATGTCCCAGAAACGGTGATCTGGCAGGAGTCAGGTCGTCAGGACGCAACAGTAAGCTTGATTCGCGGCGTTGAAATCTCAGGAATGGTGTTGGCACGGCTGAGGATTTTTCCAACGGGGCCCTTCCCTCAAAGAAAATTAGCCCTTGCAGGGACATGTGAAGAAGTAACTTGGAGGGCAGCTGTATTGAAACATCGTTGGTGAGTCTTGGGCTTGCTCTGGTCATTCTCATGCTCCTCCTTCTCCTCCCCCTCTGCGCTCCCCCCTCCCCCTCCTACTCCTGGCGCAGTCCATCCGTGCGCACAATGATCGGGAGTCGGCGCCCCCCCCCCTTCCCGCCCGCGAAACGGGAGGGACAGCTCCACCTGGAGCGACGCCCAGCAAGACGTCCCACGTCTTGGAGCACAGAATTTCGCACTGGTTTCATTACTGGCCGCGCGCAGAGGGGGAACTATGCGGGATGACGATTGATACAACAAATGGGAGATAACGATTAAAACAATAGTTCTTTCTGCTATGTCTGCACAATTTTCTGACTGGAGGAGAACGATTAAAAAAATCGTTCCAACCCGCGGCCGGTTTCTTCTAATCGTCATCCCGGGCGCCGCCGCGTGAACACGACCCCCGGTCATTTATTAATCGTCATCCTCCATGAGGGGGAGGTGGGAAGGCTTCGAAGACGCCTTCCAACCTCCCCCGCACCCCCTCTGCGCGTGGCGGACTTTAGCCACGTTCGCCATCTGGGGGCAACTTTCGGGCTCCGAGTCCACCAGGCAACGCCCAGTTGGTGCCACGGAAAGGGGTCGAGACATCCGGAGCCCGCGCATGAAGCCTCTGGGAGCACAAGCGACGAACGCATCCATCTCACCGCCGTAGCGGTGTGGATTCCGGGGCGCGATCCCGTGGATACGCGGCCGCATGGACTCGTTCCGCCCGGGGCATCCGCGAGACAACGCCCCGCATCCACGGGGGTGCGGTCTGGGGGCCCGGCCGGCGAGGCCGTGGATACGGACATGTAAGCGTCTCCCGTCCACGACTGGAGGGCAGGACGGCTCTCCCGAGAAAGCCCCAGAGACCCCACGCCTTCTCGGAAAGCCCCCCCCCCCCCCTGCCCCATCACCGCGTATGTGCCGTCCAGCAGCACGGCGGCCGCTCCCACGTACAAAGGGGGCCCGCTGGCCATGCACGGGCTCCCCTCCTGTCCAGGATACGTGCCGAGAGACGCTCCGGGGGACGAGCAGGGGGGCGTGCCAGGGAACGAGCCATGGGACGCGCCGGTCGACGCACAAGGGGGCGCGCCAGGGGACGTGCCAGGGGGCGCGCCAGGGGACGCGCCAAGGGATGTGCCAGACCTCTGACGTGGTGACCTTTTCACCGCGGGCAACTGTCGTCACCTTGCTGCGACCCTGGGAGGTCCCGCGGCGTGGCGTCCTACGAAGGCCCATGCCAGGAAATCAGCTAACTCGCCTCAACCTGGGAGCTTTCATGAGGTATCCAAAAGCCCGTCGTCGTCGATCAAGCCCCCTTCCTTCTCGCCATCCGTGCCGTCCTCTGCCTGCCCCTATTCTCGTCTTTGTCCTCGCTTCTCTTCTCTTCCTCCCCTCCTTCACCTCGGTCCTTCCCCTCCTTTTCATTGTCGTGTCTTTTGCGCTTGTGGTTTGTGTGGTTGTTGATGCTTGTGTGTGTGGGTGATACCTCATCTTGGTCCCTATGCCGCTGTTGCAAGAGACCGCGTGCCCTTTTCAGGAGCCCCTTCGTTGCGAGATGGCCCCGTTGGCATCGCAGCCTGTGCTCTGCTCTTTTCATGCGACGGGGGCTGGAAAAGGCCCGTAGAGCGGCCTCCTGCAGCTGATGCTGCTCCCCCCGCGCGCTCGTCAACGGGGGAGGGGGACGAAACAAGAGGCGAAGCAACGCGCACCTTCACCGCAGCTCCTTGCAGGCCCGCGGCGACAGACCCGAGGCCGTCCGGGGCCCCTTCAGGGCCACTTCCCTGCAGCCCTCCCCCCCCCCATATAGTGCCCCCCGCTGCCGAGCGCCCAGTCCCCCTCCGAGTCCTTCGAGCCTTCGAGCGGGGCACACTTTTTCGGGCCGGCCGCAGCTGCCCACAAGCGAGGGCGGCGACTCGAGGCCCTCGCGTCCTGTGCGATGGCACGGGAGCGGCCCCCTCGTGGTGTGCTGCCAACAGCCCTACTCCTCGGCCGGGCCTGGGCTTGTGCACAGACAGGCCCCTTGGGAGGCGGCCCAGGCCAGCCTCAATGAGCCCCGGGCAGCCAGGGGCGGTCTCAAGACCACAGCGCCGCCTCCGGTGTCGCACCTGGAGCACACTCCAAGACTTGCCTGCTCCATCTCGCCTGCCCTGCGAAGCCCACCTGCCCTGCGCGACCACGACCTCCAAGGGGAGGGCGAAGGCAGATGGCCAAGTCCCCCTTCTGAATTCGGGCGGGTCCCCAAACCTCTGGCGGCTGGATTGTTTTCGGGTCGCTGGCCCACGGGACTCTCCACCCCTTCTCTGGGGGCGTGTTTTCATCCTGGGTCTTTCTTGTTGGACCTGGTGCCCTGAAACGGCCCTCGGGTGCCGAACATTGCAAATGGCCGGCGGCGCGATTACGTCGAGTCGCTCAGACCTAGGCTCGGAGTTCTGGCAGGTCTGGAGCGGACAACCTCGGGTGGCAAAATCCATACACGAGAGCGCGCGGGGCGGCTGGCGAGAAGTCTTCGGCGCAGGTGGCCGGATGTGTTATAACTCCGACCTCTACTACGCTGAGCCTGGACATCGCGGCCGCCTCCGCTCAGAGGCCAGCTGCAGTGCTGGTCACGCTAGACGTACAATCGCCCCCGCACGGCACCCTGCTGGAGCTGTCCCTCTGCGGACGGTCAGCAGAAAGGCTCACCGTGTGTGAGGGCGTTTAAACTACAGTGCACGCGAGCGGCTGGCCTGTCGGCTCATCGTGTGGAGAGGGCACGGCGAGCGACCCGAAAGGAGAGGGATGGGGGCAACGAGTTCTGTGAAGTGGAGGAGGAGGAGGAAGACGAAGAGGAAGAAGAGAACGATGCGACTCCAAGCCCGCGACACCGCGAGCATCAGAACGCTGCTTCTGGATGTTCAGCAAACGCGCCGCCCATGCTAAAACTACACTGGCGCTCGCAACGGCCTGCCAAGTCCAGCGGCAGTACTCACATCGCCGCCCATGCCGTCAAGTTGACGAATGTGGACGACAAAGAGGGGGTATGAGGAGAAGGAGGAGGAGGAGGAGGAGGAGGAGGAGGAGGAGGCGAAGGCGGAGGATGAAGACTGTGGCCGCGTCCCTCCAAATGTCTGACACATCGCGGTAGAGGCGGTCCGGATTGCCATCACCCCCCCTCCCTCCTCCCCCTCGTCCTCCCTCTCCTCCTGCCCCTCACCCTCTCCCTCCCCCCCTTCCACCCTCTCCAGGGTGCGCTTTGACCAGATTCTCAAAGCTGATGCAACCGAGGCGAAGAGGACCCACTGTGAGGCCCACAGAGGACGAACGACGCCCCGAAGCCTCGCAGTTCGAAGTCCGACCCTCGAGCCCCCTGCACCTGTTCTTCCTCCTCCTCCCCTTCCTCCTCCTCCTTCTCCTCCCCTCCGTCCCTCCGTCCCTCCCTCCCTCCTCCTCCTCCTTCCTCCTCCTCCCTCCTCCCTCCCCCTCCTCCCTCTCCCTCCTCCGCCCTCCTCCCTCCTTCTTCTCGTCCTCGTCATCCTCCCTCCTCCTTCTTCTGCCGCTTGACTCGCGCCCGTCCTCCTCCTCCTCCTCCTCCTCCTCCTCCTCCTCCTCTTCCTCCCCCTCCTCCCTCTTCCATCTTCCCTTCCCTCCCCTCTCCGCCTTACGTGCATCATCATAAGCAATAAAT